AAGGTCTGCCGACAAGGGGCTTTGTGGGGGAGGGCCCAGGCACCTTCACCTTTGGGTGGGATCTGAGGGGGAGTAAGCTGGGTGAGCCCTGTTCACAAACATAAAATGACTCAGAAGAAATAGATTTTCAACACCCATCAGTAAGGAAGGTGGAAGTGAAGCCAGCTTCCATGACCATCCCCCGATATGGTGGCCGCACAAGAGTGAGCCACGCCTAGTGCTGAGCCAGCCTCATAGTGTGGCGATGCTAGGGCTCATGGTCGCAGCCACTGTTATCAGGCCATCCCCTTGACTGTCTACCTTTTTTCGCTGCCCCTCCACTTTACCCAGTGTGATGTCCTCCTCCCCCCAGGGACTGGGGGCTCCTGACCATGTGTTCTTGCTTCTGAGGAGCATTCTGGCCGTACTTCTTCTAACATCGAGTTGTTCTGGAAACCCACATGTCCACAAAACCAACTCTGCCATCCAGTTGATGCCAACTCATAGCAGCCCCATAGGACAGAGTAGAACTGCCCCTGTGGGTTTCCAAGACTAAATCTTTGCAGGAGTAGAAAGCCACATCTTTCTCCCATGGAGTGGCTGGTGGTTTAGAACTGCTGACCCTGTGGTTAGCTTAGCAGTCCAGCATACCACCCCTATGCCACCAGGGCTCCAGAGTCCACAAATACTCCTCTTTAATTCCATACAGCTATATATAGATTTCTATCATATTGATGAGTTAGACCTTAAAGTGAAAGGCCTGTTGGGATAACCGGGGATGCCCCTCTGGCTACATCGGCCTGGGCAGTAACTGGGTCTTGGAGGTAGAGGAAAGGCCCCTCCAAGAAATCATACCTGTGGCCTGGAGGGGAGGACACTGCCTCCATAGGGCGTGAAGAAAGGTGCTGGAGGGACGGGGAGCTGATGATGAGCAAAGCCGTGGGGGCAAGAAAGAATGAGTTCTGTTTAAGGCACAGTTGGGGCCTCCTGGGTCATATGGCACGAGGAGGACGTACTGGCAGCTGAGAGTGAAATGGGACTGTGGAGGCACGATGGCCTCTGTATTGCCAAGCTTAGCTGGGTCATAGCTACGTCTGTTCACCACGGGATGAAGCCTCTCTGGAACCCACAGATCCTGGCACACACTGAGGTCCCTCTGGGGACCAAGCACACGAGATTGCATGTGTGGCAGAGCAGGTAGGGACCGAGATGCGGAAACTGTTCCAAACGATCACCTTTTACTGACACACCTCTCCTCTACTCCCATCTGTTCCGGTGATCCTTGGTCCTTCAAGTTTTTTAAGTCTTAGCCAGTTACCACGGAAGTAATTAATTCCAGTGGGCTTTCCCTCTGCGGGGACTGGCCCATGGAAAGATGACCACAAACAGCACGGGCAGGAACAAGAGGGAGCTGGCTCCACCCAGAGGTGGCCTTCAATCCCATCGACAGTATCAACCAGGCAGGAGCAGGAGGCACAAGGCAGCAGGTGTGCAGGCCAGCTCCCTTCAGAAAGTGGAAACACAGGTAAACATAGAAGTCAGGGAATCATAAAAGTCACTCCACTGAAGAGACCCCAGGGCCCCACCCCCACCCCCCTACCTGGGGTCTCCACTCAATCATGCTGCTGCTGCCAGCAGTCCTGAGTCAGTCTCCTGCCTACTCTCCTGGCCCCAGTCACCCGCTGGCCTCCTGATGGGACTGCCAGAGGGATGTGACCCCTCTACACATCTGAGACAGGGACATGAGGCCCTCCTTGGGTGCATGCCTCCCACTGTCTAGGTCCTATTCAAATCAAGGACCCAAAAAGAGAATGTCAGATTCCACGTAGAGGGGTCAGGCTGCCACTGCTATACCCAAGGCGACATCAGCGTTTTCAGTGGTCATCCTAGCCCTGGCCCATGACAGCACACAGTTCAAATCCCCAGGGCTGTGCTTGCAGGGTCTCCTATGCAGCCAGCTCCCCTGGATCTTGTTTTTATTACCAATATTTAAACACTCAACCCTAGGCGTCGGCAGGTATGCACGCTGGATCCCCAAGTTCTTCATTTGAACCAGCTGCTCTGTGATCTCATCTGTTCCCCACCCTCCTTTCCATGCCCCCTGCTCAGCTTCTGTGGGACACAGGGCAAGTGATAGGTCTTTCACCATCACAGGCTGGTGTCTAACTCAAGCCACGTGCAGTAGGCCTTTCCCAACCCACAGAATTGATGCCACACTGCTCACTGCACTTGTATTTTGTTCCTTTTGTGCCAAAGGTCAGTGCTTCGGGCCATCGGTCCAAGCACTCAATGCCGTGACACCTCCTTTCCCCACCTGCCTGAGGGCCCTTCCTCCCAGACTTCCATGTCAGCAGTTTAGTTATGACCAGGAACACACCAAGTTCAGCCTCCCCCGTTTGACACTGATGTTTCTTTCCTTCCATCCACTCCTGGGCCAGATAGCCTCTTACAACTCCACTCTGGACTGACAGGAACTATACTCCGTGACTGCTCCGCAGGGTCCACAAGCAGCTAGAGCTCACTGCTGCAGATGGCAAGTCAGAGTTGCGGCTCTAACCAGAGCCTCCTCAGAACGACCTAGCCAACCATCTATGTCTGGAAAGCTCACCACCTACAACTCTTCCGACATCCAGTGTTGCCTGAAGTTGGAATCGACGGCAGCTGGTTTTGGTGTCTGTGTCCCAATACAGCTCTTCCGGCGCATGGCCTGCTTCAGGGCTGTGGGCCAGACTCGAGGGCAAAGATAGGCAGCACACAGAATGGTTTCAAGTCTGAGTGTTGGGTGATACCATTCTCAGTCTAGCCTGTCTAGTCAAGCCTCGCTCCCAGAAGTATTTGATTTTTTTTCTTAATTGAAAAAGTTTATATTTTGCATTGGCCAGCTGGGCTCACTTTAGATGATTCCAGTTTTGTTGGCAATATCTAAAGCGTCATAGTCAGGAGCCAGTAGAACATATGCCATCTTCTCACCGTCAGGCCTGATCAAGGTGTTGAACTTGGCTACGTCAGTGTTATAGAGCTTCTTCCCAACCTATTTGATCTGGTGTTTGTTGGGTTTGATAGCCACAATGAACACAAGTGTGCTGCTATCTTCGATCTTCTTCATGGCAGACTCTGTGGTCAAGGGGAGCTTGATGGCATGATGGTCCAGCTTATTGCTCCTGGGGGCGCTCTTCCGAGGGTATTTGGGCTGCCTTCTTAGTCTCAGGGTCTTGGGCCGACGAAAAGTGGGTGACGTGCGGATCTTTTTTTGTGTGACTGTGGACACCTTTCAGCATGGCCTTCTTGGCTTTTAAAGCCTTTGCTTTGGCTTCCGTTTTGGGAGAGGCAGGAGCTTCCTTCTTCGCCTTTGGCCATCTTCTTGAAAAGGCGACTTTTTAAAAAAAATCATTTTATTGGGGGCTCTCACGCTCTTATCACAATCCATGCATACATGCATTGTGTCAAGCACATTTGTACATATGCTGCCATTATCATTTTCAAAGCATTTTCTTTCTACTTGAGCCCTTAGTATCAGCTCCTCATTTAGTACATGAGTATCCATTCTCTGTGTGTTGTATAGGAACCCTGGTGGGGCCATAGAGTCAGCAGTTCTAAACTATCAGGCCTGGGGGTTGGGGGTAGAGGGCCACTCCTCAGATAACCTGTGGGGGTGTCCTCTTCAGGTGACCTGAGGTAGGGGCTCTTGGGTCAGACACCTGGGGGAATCTTCCTCAAGCATGATAGGGGATCTGATTCAAAACAAGCGACCTTGGGGGGAGGGGTCTGCTCCTCATTGGGACAGAATGGGAGCTCTGATGCTCAGATATGATGCCTGGGCCGGGGGCGGGCCTGTTCTAACAGATAGTCGGCCTAGGTGGGTTTCCTGGGACAGATGATCAGGTGGCAGGGGGCCAGGTGATTGCTTGTTTGAGATGAGATTTGTTTGAAAACCTTTGTAATCAACAACAAAGACCACATGGAAGAAGCACATCACCCTGTGTGATCACGAGGTGTCAAAAGGATCAGGTATCAGGCATCATCAGAACAAAAAATCATATCATTGTGAATGAGGGGGAGTGCAGAGTGGGGACC